CATAGGTCGGCCTATCACACACATTCTACGTGCGATAGTGTCCACCTATTACTTAGCAATGAATTTCCGAACTGATTATGGTGTGAGGGTCGTGAGAGGTGACCAGCTTGAATCCCGAAAATGTTACGTAGCCACCCTGAAAGGAAAAGCGAAATTGGTGGAAGATATTGAGCTCGAACAACCAGCGGAACATACAGAGGAGCGAGCTGCCCCAACAGAAGAAACGATCCATATACTGGTTTCCGAGACTGAGCCGACCAAAACTCTTCAGATCGGTGCCTTGATCAGCGAGCCACTCTGAACTCAACTAATAAGTTTTTTACTTAATAATTTAGATATTTTTGCTTTGTCTGTGACATAGATGCCTGGAATGACCCTAAAATAACAACTCACAAGCTTAATGTCGACCCTTTAGTCAGGCCAATAAGACAAAAGAAACGCAACCTCGCCCCAGAATGATGGAGGGTAATCGATGAGGACGTTAGGAAGCTCCTTGCGGCAGACTTCATCAGGGAAGTCCATTACCCGAGTTGGGTTGCCAACCCGGTTCTAGTGAAGAAGGCCAACGGCAAGTGACCCATGTGCGTCGATTACACCGACCTGAACAGAGCCTGCCCAAAAGACAGCTTCCCACTGCCCAAGATTGACCGCCTAGTAGACGCAACCTTGGGGCATGAGTTGCTGACTTTTTTGGACGCCTACTTCAGCTACAACCATATTAGGATGGTCCCTGCTGACCAAGACAAGACCGCATTTGTAACAGAGCTTGGGCTATAGTGTTATAAGTTTTTTCCCTTTGGGTTGAAAAACGTTGGGGCAACATTCCAGCGCCTTGTAAATAAAGTTTTTGAAGCATTAATTGACAATAAAATTGAGTGTTATGTTGATGACATGGTCGTGAAGACCCAACTTCCGAGCTCTCTGTTAAGTGATATGAATGACGTTTTTCAAATTCTAAGGAAGTATAACACGAAGTTGAACCCAAGAAAATGTGTCTTCGGAGTCACATCGGGTAAATTTCTAGGTTATATAATGAACCGACGTGGCATCGAAGCCAATCCAAAAAAGTTTAAGGCCATCTTAGATATGAAACCACCTTGGAAAATAAAGGAAGTCCACATACTGACCGGTCAAGTAGTAGCCCTAAGCCGGTTCATGTCTAAGTCGGTGGGTCGATGGCTGCCCTTTTTTAAAGCAATAAAAAAGAACGAGCACTTCGAATGGACTGAGGAGTGCCAGGTCGCGTTTGACGGGCTAAAAAATATTTAAGTATCACTTCGGTTCTAACCCGACCTGAAGAAGGAGATAAGTTATAGATGTACCTCGCTGCGAGTGACGAGGTAGTCAGCTCGGTATTGATCAGAGAAGTACACCAGGTCCAATGGCCCGTCTACTATGTTAGTAAAGTTTTGCAAGATGCTGAAGCCAGGTACCCTGAGATCGAGAAACTAGCGTACACACTGGTCATAGCAACCCTAAAACTACGCCCGTACTTCTAGGCCTACACTATTGTTGTCCTCACCAACAGGCCTTTGAGGTAGATTTCGCTCAAGCCCGAGGTATATGGAAGATTAACAAAATGGTCCATTGAACTGAGCGAATATGATATCCGGTTTGAGCCCCGTCCAGCGATCAAAGCTCAAGTCTTAGCAGATTTCGTCACAGAATGCACGTTTAGCATGTCGATCTCGGAATTGATTGAGCCCACCAGTATGTTGGAGGAATAGACCAGTGCGGCATTGGTCCACGCCAGGGTTAAGCTGACATGGGACGAGGAGCTTTGAATCCTTCACGTAGATGGCTCGTCGAATCTACAAGGAAGCGGTGTTGGACTGATCCTGCACGGACCAAGCGAGGTGAAGCTAGAGTACGTCCTCCGGTTCAGATTCAAAGCGTTGAACAACAAGGCACTAATCGTCGGACTCCATTTAGCGAAGGAGATGGGATCCAAACACCTCGTCATATGCAACGATTCCCAATTGGTGGTAAACCAGGTTAATGGTGCTTACGAGGCTCGCGACCAGACCATGGCAGCATACTTATTCAAGGTTAGAGCGATTATGCCGAACTTCGACTCTTGCTTCCTCAGGCAGATACCGAGATCCAAGAATGCTGAGGCCGATGCCCTGTCTCGATTGGCCAGTACTAGCGACACCACGAAGCGGACAACATATATTGAAGACCTG